ATCGTCCATCGCGACCTCAAACTGGAGAACGTATTGCTTGATGAACATTGTCGTGTTAAACTTGGAGACTTCGGTTTTACGAGGGAGTTTGAACGTGGTACATTCATGGAGACGTTTTGCGGGACGACAGGTTATGCCTCCCCGGAGATGTTGCAAGGGAAGAAGTACCAAGGACCGGGTGAGTGTACCATTTTGTTACCCCATCTGCCCTCTCTGACAGCCGTTCAGAGGTGGACGTATGGTCCTTGGGTGTCATCCTCTATTGCCTTTTAACTGGCACACTCCCATTCGACGACGATGACGAAGACTTGATGCGGGCTAAAATTATCCAAGGAGATTTCGAAGACCCCACCTGGCTGTCACTAGGTGCGTTTATTTTTTGCCTCATCCCACCTTTCTAACATCCTTGTAGAAGTACGAAATCTCATCAAGAGTATCCTTGTCAAAGACGTGGCGAAACGGTTAACAATTCCCCAAATCCTCGCCCACCCCTGGTTTACCTCAAGAAGCCTTACCTATGAACCAGAGTCTCCTGTACCCGCCGTGCCCCGATTCTCCGAAGAAAGGCCCACAACACCAGAGAACTGAACGAGGTACCCGCCGTGCCCCGATTCTCCGAAGAAAGGCCCACAACACCAGAGAATAGCGGCAGACGAGATTCGGAGAGCACAGCCCCTGATTCCTCTGAGGCGTCGCAAGAATCAGTTTCACCATTCATGAGGCAGCCAGATCTCAGTTCGTCGACGCCTACGACACCAGACGACTCTGATGACCCGTTCGAGGAGAGTACAGACCCCTCCATCCATCGGCATCCGAGCAGCCTGACCATCCGGAAGAGCTCTACCTCGGATCTCGAATCGTTGTCGTCGAAGTTGGCCAAGGCACACCCAGAGACGGTGATGGAAGAGCAGGTGATGAAACCTTCCCCATCTCCTCTGCCTTGGAAAGCCCCTCCTTCCTATCCTATCCGTACTCCTGCCCGCACGAAACGGCGGTCCGTTTCCTCATTCCTTTCTGATAACGGGTCACCCACTGTAGACAAGACACCTACCCCACTGCCTATTCCCTCATCTCGCGATCTCGATTTCGCCACGATGCTTACCGCCAACACCCCCGTCATATTTTCTACCCCCAACGAGCGACGCCTCCTCAACACTCTCTCTTCTCTTGGCTTCGACGCCGCACAGATTGTACACTCAGTCCTATCCAACGCCTGCGACGCTGCTGGTGCAATCTGGTGGATGTTGCGGAAGAAAGAAGAGAAGCGCCTCCTGGAAGAGACCGACGCGCCTGCCCTCGTTGCATCGCCGGGGGACATAGACGCAGCGTCGATTCTCGACAAAGAGCCAATGCTGGGCGACGACCTCCCGCTGCCGAAGCCCAAGAAGAAGAATAAGGCGTCGGTTGGGGTCCAAGCGGACCCGACCGGCAGCTCGCTACAACTCGTGAATGCGCCTCCTCACTTCGCCTTCGTGCCTCCAACACCCACTTTTGCGCGACCTGCAACTCCGCCCAATAACGTTACACCAACAAGAACCCCTCTGCTTTCTCCGTCGTCGTCGACGATCGCGGAGACGGCCGTCTCGGTCCGTTCTCATCCATCCACGCCCAGCGGAAGTCTGAGGGACAGGGACAAGGACAAAGAGGGGAGTAAAGGTCGGAAGGCGCGGTCTGGGAGCGTGAGCATCATGCAGCGGGCGACGACGGCCCTCGAAGCCGCTGGGCTGGTGCGCAAGAAGTCGACTGAGGCCGTCAGAGAGGAGAAGGAGCGCGACAAGGAACGGGAAAGGTCTAGAGATACAGAGCGGGAGAAAGAGAAGCGCATGGCGAGTGGGGACGAGCCGCGGTCGTCCCATGGCAGCAATTCTTCAAGGTTGACGAAGTCGCCTCCTCTCAAGCCGAACAAGGAGAAGGAGTACACCACTCCCTCCACACCACCACCCAACGAGCAATCGCATGTCACGGCCGTGCATGCGCAGATGGGCTCTCCTTGGGTTCTGGCTGAGGGCAGAGAGGCGCTAGCTCAGTCGACCGCGCAAGCTGGAGCACCGAGCTCTGTCTCGTCGACCAATCCTAAAGGAGAGATGCTGCATTCACACAGCACGCCCAACTTCTCGTCTGAGACCCCGGCCGCGAACAAGTCTCCAGCCGCAGGTCCGCCGCAGAGGAACCGAGCGAACTTGTTGACAGCGTTTAGATTATGGTTCAATGAAGAGAGGAAGGGCAAGCGGAAGGAGGCGGAAGCTCCGCTCAGTACAGGCACCTCTGGTTCCAACTACCGTCAGATGTCATCTGGCCGGAGGGGCAGTGGGTCGGGCAATAAGTTCGGGTCGTCAAGGGGGCGGGCTCAGCGCCATTCGATCTCGTCACGAAGGTCAAGTTCGGTCAATTCGCGGCGTTCCTCTGGAGCGTCACAGATGGTCCCGCTGGACTCACCCCAAGTACACGGTAGACGTTCATTCGGCAGCCATACCCCCAACTCGGAGCTAGACAACCATTCCTCCCGCCCGTCGTCGATCAGGAGCTTCTCGATGCAGCCGCGGCACCGCAAGTCGCCCAGCCAGAGCTCTGCGGGATCTATCCACCTCCGGACATCTTCGCCGATGCAGAAGTACCATCGGAGGGCAGGCTCGGGGTCGTCGACGACGACGAGGGTGGTTAGGCAAATCACACCTGTGCCACGACCTCCACACGCTCGATCGAACTCTGCTACGTCGTCGATCCATTCGCCACCCAGTAGCAGACCAACATCGTGCTATGAACCATCAGAGGGCGAGGGAGCACCGAGGACATCGTCGCCATTTAAGCAGCGTTCCCGGCGCTCGACCGATGACAGTGCGAGCTCAAGCTCGCGACGTCCGGGCAGTGCTGGTACGACTTTTGTGGCGCAGAAGCGGCAAGCTCCGTTCATGAGCCCCGCATATGGCGGCAGCAACAGCAGCGGAAGCGGTACGCTTGGACGCTCAAGCTGGAAGAAATCGTGGGGGATGGAACCGCCTGGCTGGTCGTCACGCACGGCGCATCTACCCATCGAGGTCCTCGCCATCTCCCCCGCGAACGAGCCCATGTCAATCCGGGACGTCT